GCCCCCTTGACCTTTCCGTCCTCCCCGGACTGACCTATCTCCTCCCTACCTCCCCACCTACACTCACCTTCACTGGCTCCATCCCCGCCTCTTTGACCGGTCTGTCTCCTCTCCACCTGCCTTCTCCTCTATCCATCTTCTATCCGTCTCTCCCTCCCTCCCTATTTATTTCAAAAGCCCCTTCCCCTCCCCCATTTCTGAAGAAGGGTCTAGGCCCGAAACGTCAGCCTTCCTGCTCCGATGATGCTGCCTGGCCTGCTGTGTTCCTCCAGCTCCACACTTTGTTATCTCAGACTCCAGCATCGGCAGTTCTTGCTATCTCCTCTTGAAATCATAATGTTTTGGCCTCAACTGCTTTCTGAGATGGTGTATTCCACAGACTCACCACTCTCTGGGTGAAGAAATTTCTTCATCTTCAGTTATTAATGGTTTACATTGTTCCTTGGACTGTGGTCCCTGGCCCTGGCTCTGGACTCCTCTATCATTGGGAACATCCTCCCTGCATCTATCCTGTCAAGTCTTGTTAGAATTTTATAGGTATCTATGAGACTTCCCTCACCCCCCGCTTCATTCTTCTGAGCTCCAGTGAATATAATCCTAATCAATTCAACTCCTCGTCATACATCAGTCCGACCATCCCAAGAATCAGTCTGGTAAACTTTCACTGCACTCCCTGTAAAGCAAGAATATCCTTCCTCAGATAACGATACCAAAACTGCATGCAATAATCCAGCTGTGGTCTCACTAAGGCCCTGTATAATTGCTGCAAGACATCCCTGCCCTGTACTCGAATCATCCTTCTATGAAGACCAATGTACGATTTGTCATCTTTACTGCCTGTTGCAACTGCATGCTCACCTTCAGCAACTGGTGTACAAGGTCACTCGGGCCTCATTGCACATTCCCCTATCTTAATTTATAACCATTCAGATGATAATCTGCTCTCCTGTTTTTGCTAACAAACCAGATAACCTCCCACTTATCCACATTATGCTTCATCTGCCCATTATCTCAGCTTGTTCAAATCACGCTGAAGCATTTCTGCATCCTCCTCACAGTTCACCCTCCCACCCAGATTTATGTCTTCCGCAAATTTGGTGATATTATTTAGCTCCTCCATCTAAGTCATGAATATATATTCTGAATAGCTGTGGTCCTAGCACTGATTTCTGCCAAATTGACTGCCCCTAACCTAATCCCATGCGCTTTAGTTTTACACACTAATCTCTTATGTGCGACTTTGTTGAAAACTTTCTGGAAGTCCAATAAACCACATCCACTGGCTCCCCTTCATCAACTCTAAGAGTTAAATCCTCAAAATATTCTAATAGATTTGTCAACCATGACTTCCATTTTGCAAATCCATGCTGACTCTGTCTGATCCTGCCACTGTTTTCTACTATCACTGTTTTCCAACTGCTCAGTTATTAAATCTTTTATAATGGCCTCTAGCATTTTTCCCCACTACTAATGTTAGGCCAACTGGTCCATAATGACTGGCTTTTCTCCCTGTCTCCCTTCTTAAACAGAGGGGTTACCTTAGCTACCCTCCAATCTGTAGGAGCTGTTCCAGACTCTCTAGGATCTTTGAAGATGGCCACTAATGCATCCACTATTTCTTTGGCACTTTTTGTTAAGTACTGTGGATGTAGAAGTGCCTTCTCTTTTCTTCTCTTCTTCCTTTCCTTCCCTTTCTTTCTTCCCCTTAGATTCTTCCTCTCAAATTCTTTCCTACTGACTGAGGAAAATGAATAGAAACCAGTTTTCTTTCAGATGGAGAGATACATGTAACCAAATCCACCAGACCCCTAAAAATGTGCATTGAATATTAAAATGTAGTGGTTTTGAAGGGAAGGAAACTACAAATTATTAACATAAGAGGATTTTGCCTGGGATGTGCACTATATTTTTAGGGAAGGCTAGAGTCAATGGTGAAGACAGGAAATCTACCGAACCCACATGAAGCTCAACTTGTCTTTTTTTTTTTTGTTCCTAGGGTCCAATGTTGCTTCAAGCTATCCAGTTTTAAATTTTCTTCTTTACGTTCCTGAATATTCTCATTCTCCACTGTATATCCGTGACCGTGATGGGTCTCCCATTGAATCAAACGCTTTCCACAGCTCCCGTTGGGGAGGAATCATGGTAATGACAGAATATCCTTGAAAGAAAAATATTCTAGTGTCTATCAAGCTATATTCCAACCAGTGTTTCACAAATATTCTGAAACGTGATAACTGTTCCTATGTAGTGTAATGCAGCACGTATTGTGCACACAAGTTCCTACCAGGTGGTAAGGAGAGGAGTAAACTGTTTGTTTTATAGTGGTTAACTTAGAGAGAAATTTTGGTTAGGACATCAAAAAAACTGTCCTGGGGCATTGACTGTTTTGGAGATTAAGTGAATGTTAGACAGGCCTGAGTCAAGTGTTAGATTGGATGGATGGCATTGCTAACACACCCTGTGCTAGGTTGGGTATCACTCTAGATTATAAATTCACATCCTGTTTTCAAAGTAGGTTGGCGGTTTTAGTTACTTAGCTCAGAAGCACAGTGGGTTAGAGAACTGCAAAATTTATGAAAAAAACACAGCAGAAAATGCTAAAATGAAACGGGAAGCCAAAAATTGTGTAAAATCCTTTAGTCAATTTGGGAGGAAAATTCCTCTGATTTGTGGAGTTATGCAATAGTGTCAGCATATTGCCGTTGTGAAGTGCGAACTCATCTGCATTCTGTACCCAGGGATATTGGTTGCAGCCAGATAATCGTCTAGTTTCTGTTTGAACTGTTACTGTAAATCCAGATTCAGCAGTCATCCTGGCCTCTATTCGAGGGAAAACCCTAAAATGTAATGTAGTGTATCCAAACAGAGCTTAAAACCTCTCATGGTCCCTAACCTGTCAAGCTGAAAGTGTCTGTCTACGCGGATGCATTTAGTCCATCGAATTAAATCACCCCTATGTTTACATTTCTAAGCCTTTTGAAGCTAGAGATCAGTTTAGTAGACCAGTGTAAAATATTTTCTAAAGCCAATATCACCTAATAACTGCCTTTTAATCTTTACCTGTGGAAAATGGCAAGTTAGAGATGAACTGAAAATGTTCATTTTTCGTCAGCATTTGCTGTAAGCTGTGGTTATTCAACTAGTAAGGTGGAGACTTATATCTGTGAACCAACTGCTTTATATACCTCATGTAAGCAAGTGAAAGTGCCTGGAGAAGGAATAAGAAGGAGCAACAAATCCTGACAAGCCAAAATTTTGATGGTATTAGGCAAGAACTTTCAAAAGTTGATTGGGCGAGGATGTTTGCAGGTAAAGGGACGGCTGCAAAATGGGAAGCCTTCAAAAATGAGATAACGAGTCCAGGGACAGTATGTTCCTGTGAGGGTGAAGGGCAAGGCTGGTAGGGAATGCTGGATGACTAGAGAAATTGAGGTTTTGGTCAAGAAAAAGAAGAAAGCATATGTTAGGTATAGACAGCAGAGATCGAGTGAATCCTTAGAAGAGAATAAAGTCAGTAGAAGTATACTTAAGAGGGAAATCAGGAGGGCAAAAAGAGAACATGATATGGTTTTGGCAAATAGGGTTAAGGAGAATCCAAAGGGATTTTTATAAATACATTAAGGACAACAGGGTAACTAGTGAGAAAATAGGGCTCCTTAAAGATCAGCAAGGCCGCCTATGTGTGGAACTGCAGGAGATGGAGGAGACACTAAAGGAGTATTTTGCATCAGTGTTTACTGTTGGAGAAGGATATGGAAGATATAGAATGTGGGGAAATAAATAGTGACATCTTGAAAAATGTCCGTATTAAGAGGAGGAGGTGCTGGATGACTTAAAATGCATAAAGGTGGATAAATCCGCGGGACCTGATCGGGTGTACCCTAGAACTCTGTGGGAGGCTATGGAAGTGATTGCTGGGCCTTTTCTGAGATATTTGTATCATTGATAGCCACAGATGAGATGCCAGAAGACTGGAGGTTGACTAACGTGGTGCCACTATTTAAGAAAGGTGGCAAGGAAAAACAGGGAACTATAGACTCGTGAGCCTGACATTGGTGGAATGGCAAATTGTTGGGATCCTGAGGGACAGGAATTACATGTTTTTGGAAAGGTAAGGACTCATTAGGGATAATCAACATGGCTTTGTGAATGGGAAATCATGTCTTACTAACTTGATGGAGTTTTTTGAAGTAATGAAGAGTATTGATGAGAGCAGAGCAGTGGACGTGATCCATATAGACTTCAGTAAGGTATTCATCAAGGTTCCTCATGGTAGACTCATTCGCAAGATTAGATCACATGGAATACAGGGTGAGCTAGCCATTTGGATACAGAACTGGCTCAAAGAAAGAAGACAGAGGGTGGTGGAGGAGGATTGCATTTTCAGCCTGGAGGCCTGTGACCAAGTGGTGTGTCTGAAGTAGTGCTGGGTTCACTGCTTTTCATAATTTATATAAACAATTTGGATGTGAACATAAGAGGTATGGTTAGTAAGTTTGCACATGACACCAAAAGTGGAGGTGTAGTGGACTTTCGAAGAAGGTTACGTCAGAGTACAGTGGGACCTTGATCAGATGGGTCAATGGGCCAAGGACTGGCAGATGGAGTTTAATTTAGATAAATGTGAGGTGCTGTATTTTGGAAAGGCTTATGCACTTATACACTTAATGGTAAGGTCCTGGGGAGTGTTACTGAACAAAGAGATCTTGGGGTGCAGGTTCATAGTTGCTTGAAAGTGGGGTTGCAGGTTGATAGGACAGTGAAGAAAGCTTTTAGTATCCTTGTCTTTATTGGTCAGTGCATTGAGTACAGGAGTTGGGATGTCATGTTGCTGCTGTACAGGACATTGGTTAGGCCACTTTTGAAGTACTGCATGTTGTAAAACTTGAAAGAGTTCTGAAAAGATTTACAAGGATGTTGCTAGGGTTGGAGGGTTTGAGCTATAGGGAGAGGCTGAATAGACCCTTTTCCCTGGAGCATTGGAGGCTGAGGGGTGACCTTATTGAGGTTTACAAAATCATGAGGGGCATGGATAGTGTAAATAGCCAAGGTCTTTTCCCTGGGGTGGGAGAGTCCACAACCAGAGGGCAGAGGTTTAAGTTGAGAGGGGAAAGATTTAAAAGGGACCTAAGAAGCAACTTTTTCACCCAGAGGGAGGTCCGTGTATTGGATGAGCTGCCAGCAGAAGTGGTGGAGGCTAGTACAATTACAACATTTAAAAGACATCTGGATGGGTACATGAATAGGAAGTGTTTAGAGGTATATGGGCCAAATGCTGGCAAATGGGATTACATTTATCTAGGATATCTGGTCAGCTTGGACGAGTTGGACTGAAGGGTCTGTTACTGTGCTGTATGTTTCTATGACTGTCTGCCACCTAAAGGATCATCCCCGTGACCAGAAACCATTGAAATGTCTTCCCAGTCTTTCCATTCACCCATAACACCTATATTTCTTTTTCTTCTCTGTGTCAGTGTGCATGTGTGTGTAGGGGGGAGTTTTATCCGGGGGCTTGAGCTTTAACTAAGTAGTGTTATCCACTGACAGTTCATAATTATTTACCTGTAGTTAGAATCTATTAATTTGTTATAAATAGTAATTCTTGCTGGGCATAGAATCCTGGTCTGTGCTTTCTTCAACCTGGGTCTAAAAGACAGGTAATTTGAGGAATTCTGTGTATTTTTATAAAATCTTTCATTTTTGTGACGACTCTGGAAATAGTCTGGCTTGATTTCCAGCACGCTACTCCAGGGAGGCATGACAACAGCATGAGAGGGAAATCATTTTTTTGAATGGCAGTTCAAGATACTATTTTCAGTGTTTTAGCGAAGTATTAAGGGCGGCCCTGAGTAATGTAGTCTCAGGCTGAATGATAAATATTGGAATGTAGTATGGAAAGCTGCCTGAGAGGAAGTGATGTTTCCTTAAGTTTATACTCCACCTTCTCTTCTCACCCAGGCTCCTTTCTAACACAATCTACTTAAGAAAGTGCATTGATATTTGAGCCCCACTACATTCAGGATGATCACAAAAGTTAAAGATTTAATCATATTCCTCAATGTCACTGACTTACCAGTCTGATTAACTCTGGTTAATAGAAAACAGTGCCCAGACTCCTGTACTTAAAGAGACTATCATTTGTTACAGTTCTGACCACAAGCAAATAAATGTTTAAAACTAATTAATTCTCTAATTTAAACTCTGTTCCTTCTTAAACCCCTACACACACAAGCAAATTTATTTGGACAAAGGAAACAACACAGAGGTTACAAAAGAAGAAAAAATGTTAGGGGAACACAGTTCAATAGCACCAGCCCACAGGATTCAATGAAATGTCCTTTGCTCCTCCCAAGTTCTTCTGATTCTCCAGTTTTCTTTCAAAGTCCTTTTTAGGTTCTTATTGCTGACACAGGATAATTAGCACACTATTTCAGTTGCTCAGTCATTAAAGATGGCAGCTTATAGGCTAATGGTGAGTGAAAGTAGCTGGTTACCTTCCAATTTTTTTGTTGCTTGTGCACGCAGTGAGCACTATGCTGTCCTTTTAGAGTCTTCATCCTTTCTCTCCCTGCGTAGACTGTCCATCTATCCATGGGTGAATGAGAGAGTAGTTGCCACTGAGTGCTTCTGACCTATATAATTAATCTTGAGTGAAAAACCTGTCAACAGACAGTATCTGGGCAAAACTGTCCTTAGCACACGTGTGCACACAAAGAGACATAGGCATAGACGCACACACCTGATGAATCCAGCGATCCTTCCCCACAGCTTGACCAAGGCAACATTGTTAGTGCAACCCACAATGGAACATAGGAAAATAGGATTGGGAGTAGGCCATTCACCCCCTTCATCCTGTGCCACCATTCAGTGAGATCATTGCTGACCTATGCCAGGAATGAATTCCAGCAATTTGTTTTAAAACTGCAGCATCATCTTAGAGAAGGCTTCACTGAGAATTGTGTTGGGGGAGTGGGGAAGCTTCATAGATGTTAGTTGGTCTACAGGCCAGGTTGTTCATCCAACAAGTCTTAATGTCAACAGATTATTTGACCTTGAAGGTCATCACAATCAAGCCCCAATTTTGTTCTGTTCTGTCTTGTCCACAGCAATATGCTTGTCAGCTGACATCAGTAAGTATTTAGTAGAAACCCTAGCTGATTCCCACTTGCCTCTAGCCTGGAACTGCAATAACCAGTTTTAACTTCCCCACCTCTTTATTGCAGTTTAGGATGGATCCTGGGAGTTTCTGGTGCGTAGTTGCCTCTTTTGCTAACTGCCCCATTTGTGGACTTCTGCCAATATCTTCTGAGAAATTAATTGCAGGCTGCCCTGCGAGTTTTTTGCTTTAAGTTACATAAGTATGTGAGTAGGCCATTCAGCTTGTTGAGCTTGCTTCACTATTCAATTAGAAAATGTTTGATCATCATCTCCCATGCCAATTTCCCATACTATCTCCATACCATTGATGTCATTAGTCTTCATAAATCTAGTAACTTCTATTTAGAAAATACTTAATGATTTTACTTCCACAGTACTCTGAGTAGAGAATTCCAAAGATTGACCATCCTCTGAGTGAGGAAATTCCTCCTCATCTCAATTCAAAATGGCCAATCCCTTATTTTGAGCAAGTGTCTCCTGGTTATATACTCACCAGCCAGCAGTAACATTCTATTGATATCCACCTTGTCAAGCCTTGGTAGAACTTTGTAACTTTCAAAAGGATCTCTCTCTCATTCTTCAAAACTCTCAAAAATGTAGACTTGGTTTCCTTAGTCTCTCTTCCTAAGACAATGCCAGGGATTAATTTGGTGACTTCTGATGCACTTCCTCTGCGGAAAGTATCTTTCCTTAGGTCAGGAGACCAAAATTGGAGTACTGCAGATGAGATCTCAGCAAGACATCTTCACTTAGGTATTCAAATCCATATGTGATGAATGTGTTGTTTGCCTTCTTAATTGGTTGCTGTGCCTGCATGTTGGCTTTCAGTGACTATGAATAAGGATATCGAAGACCTGGTTCCTCTGAAGCCTCCTTACGTAATAATTTACATTTTCACTTAGTTTTGTGTCATCAGCAAGTTTGGAATTTTACATTTAGCCCCCAAATTCTTATCATTTGTGTAGATTGTGAACAACAATGATCTTTGCGGTACCCCATTAGCAATAGCCCCCATGTTCTAGTTTTATTTCCTAACCTCCCCGGTCTTTTCAAAAGCCTTCTGAAAATCAAATTACATCACATCAACTGGTTCTCCTTTATCTGTGCTGAAATAAAATCCACAAAAACCTCTAAGTGTGTCAACATGATTTCCTTCTCAAATCCATGTGGACTGTGCCCAATCATATCAATATTTTCTGTGTCAACTTATCACATCCTTTATAATAAATTTTTATTCATTCATGGTATGAGTGTGCCATTGGCCAGGTCAGCATTCATTACCCATCCCTAATTGCCCAATTAAGTGTCAACCACATTCCTGTCGTCTGGAGTCACGTGTAAGCCAGACCAGGTAAGAGCAGCAGATTCCTCCCCTAAAAGACATTAGTGAACATGATGGGAGACAACAAGGTGCAGGGCTGGATGAACACAGCAGGCCAAGCAGCATCATAGGAGCAGAGAGGCTGACGTTTCGGGCCTAGACCCTTCATCAGAAAAGCCTTTTCTGATGAAGGGTCTAGGCCCGAAAC